CTAAAGTTAGTATATTTAGCTTAAATTAATCCTCACATTTAGGTTTCTCTTAATTTAGTCCCTGTTTAGGATTATTTTCTTTAATTAGTTGTGTATATTTATTTTGCATGTTGATATGTTTATGTATAAGTATGCGAATGATTTATTTAGGAGTCACATAACATCATTTTGCATAATTTGTATGTTACCTTCATGTGCATAACTTAACACCTATCACATAATCAGATTAAGGGTTTAGGTTTAAGGGTTTGGGTTTGGGTTTAGGGTTTATATTTTAAGATGTTTAAGGGTTAGGATTTAGGGTTTATATTTTAGGTTTTAGGTTTTTTAATATATTTTTAATAATGTAATTTTAAAAAATTTAAAATTATAATATAACATTTTTTTGAGCTACTCACGAGCTTTTCGAGTCGAATATCGAGTAGCTCGTTTCGGCTCGTTAAGAATTCGAGTCGAGCTCGAGCTCGAGTCCATTCGATCCGATTATTTATCGAGCCTTGATCGAGTCGATCTCGAGTAGCTCGCGATTTGTCTCGTCTCATTTACAGCCTAATATGTACTGCAACGACGACATTCTTCTACTACTTCCAACATGAACCTTCCTCGAAATCTTCGTTATCAACTCCTCAAGAGTTATGTTTCTCTTGAATGATATTTTAACACGCTCATTTGAAACGAAAACAACGCCCGTTTCATCTTCTCGAATTTCTCTATCATAATAAACAATAGCTGAAAGTCGCACCATTCTTAAAGTTTAAAAGTGCGACAATATTATATCTACAAAAAAAATTGAAACAAACCTAATTAAATAAATAATATATGAACGAAAATATAACACAATAATTTTTTTACACATAAACGTAAATAATTTAAATAATATAATTTTATATTATTACATGCACCGCAAAAATATTTCAACGTATGCTCCCGCTTTCCAATTTCACAAACACATAAATTAATTGAAAACAATTAGTATAATATTTTTTTCAAATAATCATATATAATTATAAAAAAATAATAACATAATTACCTTATAACGAAAGATCGAACGAACTTCTGAATCAAGTATAAGATGATTGTCGGGTGTTATTTACTGGTTGAAAGGATTGTTATATTAATTTCTCGGTTGAGTGAGAATTGTGAGAGGGTTTACGGGGAGATGACTATTTATAGTCGAGAGATGATGCTTTAAAGTCGAGAAGACCGGGTAAATTTTGCAAGGCGCGGTCCCTGCACCGCGCCTTACATTATGCATGTATGATAATTGAGCATGTGATAATTGAAAACCGCAACCCCTGCACGCGCTATAACCCTACGCGGCGTAAGGCGCGCCCTAGGGGCCGCGCTTTAGCCACTTGTGTCAACTCAGCATAAGGCGCGCTGCAGGGGGTGCACTTACCCCACGTGGCGACAGATCAGTCTAAAGCGTGCTGCAGGGGCACACATTTCTGTAAAGGATGTTAGATCGAAAAATAAAGTGTGAACGATATCTGACTGAAAATTAAAGATGAAAAAGATGATTTATCGAGCAAATCGCCCAAATACATTCCCCTTCCATTGGTATCGATATTAAAATATGCTGCTAACATGTAAATTAAGGGGAAATGTTGTTTCCAGTTTGACAAGTAATGGCAGTACAAATCAAATTTAAAGTTGCATGTACTGCAACTCGTTTATGACCTTGTTCTGCAACTCGTTTATGACCTTGTTCTGCAACATATACACACTGACAAACACATCGCATGCCTGAAGATGCTTGGATCTTTTAAATTGAACTGAATCAAGCCTATGGAGATCCCCAGAAGGAATAACATCATTGAGTGCAGCGTTGATGAATTCTGTTACTTTCTGAGATGAATTCGTCAGCGTTGCATTCAATCATGTTTTTTTAGTTCCGGAACAAATGCATATCAAAACTCAAAGATTCAAGAGAATTATAAATGCTCCAGGCTTTGTCTCTCCTTGTTAATTAGCTTCCGCCCCCCCAAAAAAAATTTGGAAAATTGAAACCTTTGGAGGAACTCTTCATTATTTTATAGAATCCAGAGACCATCAGCTCTTATCTTTTATAGGTTTTCCAGGTCTAAAAATAGATGCCAAGTGTAAACTGTACAACTAGTCTGATGATTTGATGACTACCCCAATACCATTAATTGGTGTTGAAATCAGGCAGCATGCAAGATTGGAACCAGATATAAAGGGCCCCTCGACTGCTACAGAGTCTTATCTCTTTGGTCTCTCGAAACCTGGATAAGTTTCCCATATTTTATCATTGTCCCTGTCCCTTTGTTGAGGTGACAGATCGGTTTTCCAGTTCAAAGCCATGAAAATTATACTGTACTAGCAACGGTGTCCGACTTGTAATAATTTACGGATTATCTAAAGCATATACATTCAATTATGTTTACATTACTGCTGATATGATATGATTGCATCACATTCAAACTATTCCAGCATGGATACAGAGCCTGATCAATAATGGAACTTGACATTTAAGTTGAATACTTGATCAATCGGTTACTTTGGCATTGCCCAAATCCCATCTCATCACGAAATGTATATTGTCAATACAAGCAATAACACAAAATTCACTTTTTTAAGATTCTCACTTCAATCAAATTCAAACAAAATGACTGAAATTTCGTACATACGTATAAACACACATACAGACAGACAACAAACACCATCTATTATGTAACTTCTAAAAGAATGTATCACCAGATGTACCCAATAGACTGTAAGCTATGAGCTTAACGTTTCTTCACAGCTGATTCCTTCTGTGAGTTGAAATACACTGCAGCAACGGGAAGCCCCAGCCTGTTTTGAGAAGCAAAGCGGCGAGTGCTGAAGTTGGCACGAACATCCGCCACTTCAATTCTTCCTTCCATGGCTCCTTCCTGCTTAAAGAGTGCCAAAATATAGCGATGAATCCCTGTAGGAGGTTGTGGTCCCATGTAAGCCACCAACTCTCTTCCTGTATTACATGAACATTAAGATGTTGTTTTAAATGAATTTGAATCTCTATGCCCTGATAAGGATTGAGGTGTAAGAAGCAGATCAACGGCAAAGCTATACCTTTGGTAGCATCATGTCCCTCAGGAATATCTACAACAAGCCTGCAACATAAACATTAATTTTTACCAAATTTTACCATGTAAGAACTAAACTCTCCCACTCTTACAGATGCAGTAGCAGAGATAAGCATAAAATGGCTTATAATTACCAATGAAGCCACTCTCTCAATCGAGGTTCGCTTGGACTTGGAGCATCAGGATCAACCATAACCTACAAATTATCACCAAAACAAAGTACTCGGTTTAAGTCACTGCAAAATTATGTGTAAGAAATTTGAAAAAGAAGTTTGAAAGAATTGCATACGAGAGTGTATAAATTGGAAGAAAGTGGATGACCAAGAATTTGGACACGAGGTTTATCAGCAGCAACAGATGGCTTGATGTCACATCCCTTGGTTACTTGCTTGCTGCCGTACTGGACAGTGAACTCCGATGCCGGAGTGAACATGTCGAGCACATCTCCGATCACTCCGCCTACAACCAGTGTCCCAACGGACCGCGCCATAGTGTACTAGACTAGATATTTGTGTTTTGTCTGATTGAATTAGTCAAATTTATACAGTTATGGAATATCCCCTTTCGGTTTGCAAAGTCCAAGTTCCTTTTGGGGTAACAGTAAGTAACGAAGTGAAATTGGACAATTGGGATTTTCCGATGACTGACACGTTGAGGGACAACTTTGGTGAACTTTGCACGTTGCCTTGTCCACGATTGAAAGTGCCAGGCAGACACGTGTTGGTATTTTCGGCATGAGTGGGTCATCTGCCGGCAACCGAATTCATCAGATTGACTGAAGTATCCTCTAATGTATTTCTTAATTACAACACTTGTTTTCTTGTGGTTGCTGTTGTTTATGCCAAGTCTCAAGGGTCAGGTAGACATTCCATTATTATCAGACCTAAAAGCTTTAGGTTGAAAACCATTAACAAAGAATTGGGTTCAAGTGTGCAAAAACTACAATCGAATCACTAAAGGAAAAGTGGGGAATTCATGTTGGCCGACATTATTGTTTAGTATGCGAAGGCTGCATAAAAGCAAGTAAGATCAACATCATCAACCATATATTTTAATGGCAAAACACAGTATTAGGTGGCATAATCAGATGCATTAATGGCCTTAGTCAAATGGATAATGGAGAAGTTTGTATGGATCATTTATAATATCCATCATTGGACGCTTCCGGTAACCATATATATATATATATATTGGATAATTGCAATATTATTACCCAAAGAAAACAGGAACACCTGCTACAAAAGGAGCACCAAGCAGACAAACCCTGCTGTACATCAAACTAAACAACAAACAAATCCAAAATCCAAATGCTTTCCACAATCAAATAACCTGGAAAGAGAGAAATCCCTATACAAAGTATACCCTCTATACAACCACTCAATTTATACTCCATGCCAACCCCAATCTACTATTAACTCCTCCCTTACTGACCGAGACTCCCATCAGTCTCAATCGAACCTCCTCCCTTAGTTCCCCAATTAACCTTTCAGCATTCTTCCTAATCCCACCAAATACTAAGTATTCCGTTCCTTCTATATATGACAAATATAAGCACTCCATGCAACCTTCAGCAGAATGGAAAGAAAAGAACTACCATTGAGTTTGGTGACTGCCCAGTGAACCTCCTGCCTCCAAGTTCCCACTCTCCTCAGCAACTGAAAAAGACTCGGAATGCCCCCCAAACAATCAATTAATTTGATTAAACTAAAATAAGAAGGAAAGCCTAAACAATTGCACTTTGACTTCTTGAATATTATTTTGTTCAGTTATATTGATTCTGAATATAAGATTAGTTGGGTTAATTTTTTATATACAAAAATTAAGTTCGATCAAATATTAACCCCTGATTTTAAGAAATATAAGCTCTCTAATGCACTCATAGTTCGCCTTCTTGGAAAGGCCATTGGTTATATGGCATTGGTAAATCGGATTCAGAGCCTATGGAATCCTGCTGGAAAGCCGTTAGTTGTGGATCTAGAGAATGATTATTTTCTGGTACGTTTCAAGAATGAGGAAGACTATTCACGTGTGCTTATGGGTGGTCCGTGGATGATCTACGGAAGTTATTTGATAGTGCAACCATGGGGTAGACTGTTCTCTACCTTAGAAGACCATCCATCTCAGATTATTGCATGGGTAAGGTTACCGGGACTCCATTATCGTTACTATACTAGGAGCTTGTTTCGTATTCTTACCGGAGTCATTGGTAAGGTGGTAAGAGTTGATTATAATACGTCTGACGGAAAGCGTGGAAAATTTGCGCGGATAGCAGTGATTATTGATCTAACTAAGCCTCTTGTAGCTGGAATTAAACTTGATGGGCATCTCCAAAGAACTGAATATGAAGGATTACCGACTATATGCCTCAATAGTGGAAAATATGGGCATCCTAAGGAAGTTTGCGGTGAGATTGGGGCTGGTATCACAACTTAAGTTGTGCAATTGAATGGTGAAAAGCCGGTGTTGTCGAGGATAATCCGTTTGGTCCATGGATGCAAGCTACCCGTCGTGGAAGGAAGATGAACCTGAATAGGAAAGATGAGACAACTTCTAAAGAAAACTCTGGAATTGAGGGAGTTAGCAGTAAATCCAGATTTGATGTTCTCTCTAATGATGCTAATTTGGAAAATGAAGTCAAGTCTTCAATTCACCCCAATAATCAAGGGATTTTGGGTGCAAAACTATAGGAAATCACAAACTTTGAACTCTAAAGCAAAAAATGGAAAGACTATTAAGCCTGGGAAAGAAAATAATGACGTGTTATTAAGGCATGAATTGGTGGAGGTGGGTCAAGATGATGCGGAGTCCAGCGGCCAGAAGTCTAACTCTATTAGAGTGGGAAATCAAGTAAAAATAAATCCATGGAGACCATGCAAGTGATGGCCACCACAATTAAGGGAGGTAACCATACTGCTGTTCGATTTCCTGCGGAGGGTGCAAAAATTCAACGATCAATATCAGTTCCGAAGACAGCAAAGTTAAAAGGGATTAGTATTGATAACCACTCGGTTGGCTCAAAGAATGTAGTGGCCATGAAAGATAAATCAGAAAAAGATTTTAAGTCGAAGAAACAAAGTGAAGAGAAGAAAAATAATCATCCGATATTAAGAGAGTGGATTGAAGCAATGGCTAGTGAGTTGGATAAACCACCTTTAATTAAAGAGAAGAGTGCTTTTAAGGAACTTGATGGTGGCAAAGGCACTGCAGATTGTGTCGAGTGGATTGAGAATAATGTGTTTGAGGCCACGAACATGGCCGTTGATCAGGCTTAACCCTCTCTTGCCTTAATTTTTAATGGTTAAAGTTTTATTCTGGAATGTGCAGGGTGTTTTAGGCCTTGCTTTCAACCGTTATTTCTCGCTTGTTCTAAATCCCAAAGACCAGACATTGTTGCACTTTTGGAAACTCGTGTTAGTGGAATTAAAGCAGACAAGTTTATCAGGGAAATGGGTTTATCTAGTTCTTATCGAGTGGAAGCGAATGGATTTTCTGGAGGAGTTTGGATTCTTTGGAATGACAATGTGAACATTGATGTGGTGGCTGTTTCGTCACAATTTGTCCATGTCTTGTGTGGACATGGATTGAATAATAATAGATGTGCAATTACTTTTGTCTATTCAAGTCTAGATGCTATGAAAATAAAACAAGTGTGGGACAAACTTCATAATTTTGACCCGGGAAATAACATACCATGGGTCTTGGGAGGCGACTTCAATACTATTTGTGACCGTAATGAGAGGGTAGGAGGCTCCAATCGAAGATCAGGGGAAAGCCCAAATTTTTGTAATTTTTTGTTTGATACTGGTCCCCATGATTTAGGTTTCGAAGGACCAGCTTTCACTTGGGCGAGAGAATCTTTAATGCAGACTTGACCGATGTGTGGGCAATAATGCTTGGTTAGCTAAAATGCCAAATTCCAGGGTGATACATCTTGAAAAAATTGGTTCAGACCATCGACCAATTTTGTTAATCTCCAATGATGATCATGTTCCATTAGGTGAGAGGCCCTTTCGCTTTATTGCCGCAAGACAATCTCATCCCACTTTTAAAGATCTCCTAAAGAAGGTGTGGCGTAGAAAGTTGGGGGGTAACGATAATTTAAAACGGTTCACTATTGAAGCTAAAAACTGGAACAAGGAAGCATTTGGTCACATTGGTTGCAGGAAAGCTCTCCTTTTGGAACAAATTAGGGGTATGGAAAATGCGTTGGAGGGTTCACTACTGCAAAAATGGCTTGTTGCGGCGTTTTTTTTACTTATAACGGCGTTTTTAAGCGCCGTTAAAAACACCTACGGCGTAAAGATAAACGCCGCTAAAAATAGCGCCGCTAAAGTTTGCGGCGTTTTTCAACAAAAAAACGCCACAATAGGTGACAACATATAGCGGCACTGCAAAAGGTATTGATATTTAGCGGCGTTTTGCAGAAAAACGCCGCAATAGGTGTTGATATTTAACGGCATTTGGCAGACAAACGTCGCAATAGGCGTTGATGTTTAGCGGCGTTTTCTTCACAAACGCCGTAGTAGATGTTTATTTTTACCGGCGTTTTTCCTACAAATGCCGCAGAAGATGTTGATATTTAGCGGCGTTTTCCTACAAACGCCGCATAATATGTCTTGAGATTTAGCGGCATTTTCGTCGAAAACGCCGCAATGTCTTGAGATTTCGCGACGTTTTTATCACAAACGCCGCTAAATGTATGGTATATTGCATCATTTTTTGTTACAAACGCCGCTAAATAACACAGAATTTAACAATTCTAAAAATTATGCTTAATACCCCAAATCTGTTTTTTCAACCTGTTCCATTATCCAACAAACAAAACAGCAATAACATCAAATCCAATATAATAAATAAAAGTTTTCATTAACGTAATATAAGTTAAGTTAAACACGGTTCAGTAACATTAACATAATGCTCATAACATAAATGAGGCTACGATGGTGGATTCTGAGGTTGCGTTGTTTGTATCATCAGCATCATATCATTGAGTCGTTTTTCAAATTCTTTACATCTCTGCTGATATATTACTTCTCTCTGTTCTGCCGCTACCTCTATCTGTGCTGCCATTGCTTCTCTCTCTGCTTCCGCTGCTTCTCTAGCTGCTTCCGTTGCTGCTCTCTCTGCTTCCCTTGCTTCATTTTCCACTTTCAAGTTAGCCATTTGTTGATCCATCTCAGCCAACTTTTCTTTTAAACGACCAACTTCTAATTGGGAAGATCGAGACTGTGATGACATGTACTGTGATGAACTGGATCCAAAATATTTGGTGGGAGTAACGAATGATCCTTGACAGTGCACCCGACCATATCTTTCAGGACCCAAAACGTCATTAATAGCTTGGTTTTCAATGTCATCATCATTAACAATACCTTGACTCGAAGCAGTAGCATGATACTCTGCCCTTTTCTCCCTCAATTTTTCCTAATAATAAAGTGAATAATTAATTAAAATAAAAAATATCATGGTACAAATATAAATAAAGTCAGGTAAATTTAAAACATCTACCCAATAAACGTACCATAATTTCTGCAGCGTCAGCAGTCATAGGAGTGCCATCATTCTTCGTATGTGTCATGTCGAAGAGTTAGATTCGACCAACTTTAGAACCGGATGTATTTTCCTACAATGTACCATAATGTAATTACTATGAGTTAGTATGTACATGGAATACAAAAAAACTATTTCAATAATCTATAATACCTCCTCATGAGCTATACAAGCAAAGCTCTTCGATCCAGCCGTGTGCGTAAACTTTTGTTGTTGCCTGCTAGCAACACCAACATGCTCTCGGTCCTACAATGTAAAACAACCACTTATAATGATGATTTAAATTTTGTTATAAGTATTTATGAAAAATACATCATACTTGTCCTTTTTGAGAACTCCAAAATCTGACTGCATCTTCCCATTGGTACCTGAGCATTCCTCGTGGGACTGTTTGCAACTTCTCTTCATGGCTGAGATCATTCTTGAAGTATTTCTTCTTTAAGGAGATCTTGTGGTCCCTCCATCTCTTCCCTAACGCTTGCTTCACATAATCGTCAGAGACCTCTAAAACAAATATCTCCTATACAGCAAATAAGTGTGCACCGTAAGTTTAAATTAGTATTGAATTTATATAGAGTATCTATTATAATGACATTATTACCTTAACAAAATCCAACGCTTGATTTTTGTTACTATTAGGCATTTTGCGCCATGACTCATAATTGATCGGTAACAGATTCACATTACATCCAACTATGCCTAAGTAACCTGCTAGAAGACGTGATTCTGGGCCAATAGGTTGACCGGCATCGTTTCTTGAAACTTTGATACGATGCCCAGGAGAAAGTTGGTATAATTCCTTTAAAGTTGTCGTCCTCGAGTCTTGCGCGTTTCAGCATTTTCAACTATATAAGAAATTATTAAATGTCAGTTTTGAAAATGAACAAAGTAGTAAATAAAGTTTCGAAGATTACCTTGAATTTCTACTTCTTCAACAGTTTCAGGAACTTCGAAAGACTCAGGTGCATTTGTTTCCTCGTTATTTCTTTCTTCATGGTCTTCAGAAGCTCGAACAACCTGCAAATCAGATATTTTTCTCCTCGGCATTATATCTGTAATAAACAAACATGAGTAATAAACAAACATGAGTAATAAAAAACGATTTAATTAATGAATACATTGAAAGACAACATGTTAAGGGTTATAACATTATAAATAAATAAATGAAGATATAAAATCGTACAACAGTCTTATGTAATGTCAGTTGTCATAAATATCTTCATCAACGTCCTCCCGAACCCATTGAAATTGTGTTGTATTACTGATAGTTTCATCTAAGTTTTGTGGTAGTAGAGGTAAACACTCTGATCTTGTTTCAATGTCATCTCTACTTCCAGCCCCGATGTCTATCAAGTCTCTGGGAGTATTTCGAAGCACAACATACCAACCGTCATCCATTGGATCGTGACAATAAATACTTGTTTCACTTGAGAGGAAAATACATATGGTTCATCCATCAAACGTTGACCCGTGTGAATTAATCGAGAGAAATTCACCATTGAAAACCCGAATTTATCTCTTTTTATACATCTGTTTACATCAACCCAGTCACACCAAAACAACACAACCTTTCGTTTTCCATAATAATCTAACTCAATAATGTCCGTAAGATTTCCATAATAATCGACCTCTCCATCCTACGAATTATTGTCCCTTACAGTAGCATAACTTGTAGTTGATGAGGTAACTACGGCTCCACAATTTTGTGTCCTCCTTAATTTTTCATGAGATTTCGTGTGAAACCTGAACCCATTAATGAGGAAGGCATTATATCTTTTAACTATTCTATTCGGACCTTGAGAAAGCCATTTAACTTCTTCACTAACTTCTCTCATACTCCAAACCTATTACACATGAATGGTGAATTAATTTGCATTGATGTCGATATAAAAAACAAGACATATATTATTTATAAGTGTTTCATAAGATTTAGTTGCTTACCGTCTGGCCTAACCATTCATGAAAAGTTTCTGTGAATAACTTATGTAGCTCTCGCTGATTTAATCTTCGGGAGCGTGCTCGAGATCTCAATACTTCTTTAAACTCACTATAAAGAATATTATGTCGTTAAAAATTGATAAATATAAAAGATAAAGAGATTTCATTAGGATTGGGTCCGAAAGACTTACGTGCGAAA